ATGATAATGATAATTACGATAACGATGACGATAATAATGATAATAATAATTATGATAATAATGATAATCATAACAATAATAATAATAATAATAATGATAAAGATGATGATGATAGAGAGAGAGATGATAATAGTAATGATAATAATGATTAGATATATAATGATGATGATAATGATCATAAAGATAATAACAATAATAATAGTAACAGTAATAATAACGATGATGATAATAACAATGGTAGTAGTAGTAATAATGATAATAATAATAATAATAATAATAATAATAATAATAATGTAAATGATAATAATAACAATAATGATTATAATAGTAATAGTGATGATAATAATAATGATAATGATAACAAAAACAATAATGATAACATTAATAATAATATTGGCAAGGATAGCAATTATAATAATGATAAAAATAAAACGTTATTATAATCACGAAATACAAATGACTAATAATGACATATCTAATATCCATGATAAGAGCAGCATCAATGGTAATGATGATGTTAATGATGTCATTAATAACATCATTGTTGGCATTAGTTGCCAGTTTACAATTATTATGTTATAATGATGATAATGATAATTATTATTAACATTGATGATAAAAATGATTATTATAGTAACAAATTACTACTACTACTACTAGAAATAATGATAAGAATGATGTGAAATAGGAATAAGAATAAGGATACTATTAATAATGAAAACCAAAACAACTATGGTAATAAAAATTATGATAATGAAAATAATGATAAAATTGATATTAACAAAAATAATAATCATAATAATTATAACTATAAAAGATGTTATTTAATAAAAACAAAAAGAATTACGATGATGATAATAAGAACAATAGTATTTTGAATATTAAGAAATATTGATAATAATATTAATGATAATGATATAATAAAAAAATAATGAAAATTATAATGATAAGAAAGGATAATAATAATAATAATGATAATAATAATAACAATAATGATAATGATGAAAGATGGAATAATGTACTGGCCGCATTAATATCATGAATATATTAACCTCACCGCCCGGGATTCGATCCCTCGCCGCCGTTGCAAGGGAATGCAAGACGATCACTCCATCCACCAGGCCACCACTCACTGTAAAAGGAGTGTGCAACCAGGCGCCACATAGCGCCTTGGACATTACCTAACTACTCATACATGAGTAAGTATAGCGAGATTTTACACACACTCCCCATAAGTCCCGAATGCCCACGGGGAGTGTGTGTAAAATCTCGCTATACTTTCTCATGTATGAGTAGTTAGGTAATGTCCAAGGCAGGATGTGGCGCCTGGTTGCACACCCCTTTTGAGTGGGTGCTGGTGTAGTGGGTAGAGTGACCGTCTTGCATTCCCTTGCAACGGCAGTGAGGGAGCGAATCCCGATCGGTGATGTTAATACATTCATTAATGATAATGATGATGAAAATTATGATGATAGTGATATTGATAATAATGATAATGATAATAATATTGATAATAATGATAATATTTTAATAATGATAATGATAATACTAATGATGATGATAATACTAATGATGATGATAGTAATGATAATCGTCATTATCATTATATCATTTTAATAATAATAATGATAAGAATTATAATGTTAACTGTCATAATAAAAAGAATGACAGTAAAATAACAATGATAGTAATAGTAGTAATAATTATAATAATGATTATTATTATGATGATGATGATGGTGATGATAATAATGATAACAATAATAATATCAATAATGATATTAATGATATTGACAATAATAACAATAATAATAATGATAATGATAATTATAATGATAATGATAATAGTAATGATAGTGATGATACTATTACGACTGCTACTAATAATAATAATGGAAATAATAATGATGATGATGATGATAATAATAATAACAATGATAATAATCTTGATAATGATAATAATTATACCATAATATTAGCAATGAAATTAATAGAAATGATAATAATAATGTAATGATAATGACGATGATAATGATAATAATAGTATTAGTAATGATAATGAAATGCCTATAATAATGATAATGATAATAACAATAAAATGGAATTAAGAATAAAAGTAAAAATGACCAAAAAGATAATAGTAATAAAAGTGAAATAATGATACTAGTAATGATAATCACGATACCAATAATGATAGCAATGACGTTTAAATGAATGTCATAAAAAACGGTAATTATGATAATATAAATCAGATGATAAAGATAATGATAATACTGATCGATAATAGAACAATAACTATGATAATGATGATGATGCTATTACTACTTCTAATAATTCTAAAAATAAGGAAGATAGTAATAATAATGATTATAATGATAATAGTAATGGTAATAATAATAATAATGAAAATGATGATGATAATGATAACAAAAAAGGATAATGATAATAACAATGATAATAATGATATTAATAATAATAATAATAATAATGATAATAATAAT